TCAGAAAGAGCTTACATTGAATATGCAATCCATTGAGCTCATCTGTAGATGCCGTAGACTTCCCAGAGAGTATCTTGTAGACTTAATGGTTAGTAAGTATCTCGGTGCATGTGACAAGTTTTCATTAAAGCTTTTAGATGACCCCTTTAACCTCCTACCGGAGTTTTTTTTGTCAAAAACTCCTTGTAGTCGAGGCCCTCAGAATCTAAGCTTTGGTTTTCCCGCACAGCATTCTATCATAACTCTGTCTTACTGTACGTATAAGGATTTTGTGGACTCCAGTAAGGTTAAAAATGCTGTGCGTGGACGTGTACTCGAGTGGCATACAAAGAATATTTCACACTTTAATATTTGCATGTAAATTCAGATTAGTGTTATGCATCACTACATCCACAGCGCTTGTGCAAAACGGTGAAAATATTCGCAGTCGAGTGCACAAAGCTTATTTTTATTAGACCGAACATAGATTAACTACTGGGGGTTCTGCAAAGTAACCAGCTGACAGATGCAAAGTACACGGACACTGCATATGTTGGATATGATGCTAGTACAAATACTGCCTCATCAATTGACGTTGAGCGCCACTAGCTTCGGTATGCACCTCGTACCTTCAAAGTGTAAAGTACTGTCTAAGGACTGGGACAACAAGCCGAAAGTCCCAACATGAAGCGAACAAATACTTGAGGTGCTTGATCAGTTCCGTTAGCTGGATGACCCAATCACCTAGGTTATCGGGCAAATCATGAAGGTCAGTATGGCGTCGCAAAGCGTCAATCAGATGAAGATTGGTGACACTAGTTTGGCGATTAGGAATAGCAGCACGTTTCAATGAGTTGATATCCCAATGATATGACGATAAAGGTGGGAGTGAACTGACCGGAAGTCTTGATAGTGCATGTCAATTTTGGATGCGTCCAATGGCATGGTCATATCAATGGTAGCGAGATCGAAGAGATGTTTGAAAAGTCTGCTGCTTCCACTTTTTAACTTCGCGGTTTAACGACCCCAACCGTTAGGAGAGTCACCTACTAACGAACGGATCAGTGAACCCAAAGTGGATCAAAGTCCATCCATTTTATAGAAATCGAGCAAGATAATGGCATTGGTTAATCTATGGAATATTCTCGCAAAAGCTATTACTATTAATGGTAAGTAAAGAAGAGAAGGTAGCAGAGAACGTTCAGGAAGGTCGTTATGAACAAATAAATATCGGTACTCTGCGCTCTGCACTCATCCCGTGTCTGGCGGCCTTGCCTTTCTGAACGGCCAATTGGGGGCGGGCCGGTTTTCAGCGAACAGTCAATCGGGGCGACCTTGGTAGCCATAACAATTGGCGACGGAGGTGGGATTTGATCGGATACGACGAAAATAAGATGAATTATGTCATTTTCAGTGGAGCAACTTACCGTAATAGTTCAACATCAACAGAAGCAATTTGAAAAAACCCAGACACGAATGCTCGAGAATACCTCAGCGTTTTGTGGTTCAAGCAAGACCAAACAATGAAAACGGCAATCATCAGTGGATGCGGTCACGAAGAGCATGTGAGTTTCGGTATCACCCGGATGCCGGCCTAACCCTCGAATCTTGGTTCAGAAGATACGGAGACGTTTTCCGGGCTGAACTCGCTGATGCTGATGACGGTTAGAAGTGAAGACTGCTTCTGCGGAAGCTGGGAACCAAGGAGCATGACAAGTTTCTCAATTCTATCTTGCCAAAATGCCCCAAAGATGTTGCTTTTGACCAACTTGTACCTCTGGTAAATGACATTTTTTGGTGGACAGTCTTCTTTATTCAGCGGCCAATACAGCTGCATGAAGCTCGTTAAGTGCGTGTCAGACAAGTTCGTAACTTACGCGAGTACCGTCAATCGTTATTGTGGGTGTTTCAGGCTAAAAGAAATGACAGAAGATCAGTTCAAGACCCTAATTTTCGTTTGTGGTCTCCAATCGCCCGAGGACGCCAAAATACGCATGAGGATGCTTAACAAAATTGAGCAGGGCCCGTCCATCAATCTCATATTCATCACTTGCGGAAGTCTGAGATTAATCAGCTTGAAGCACAACACGAACACGATTGTCCAAGTCCACAGTCAATGCCCCGTGGATGTTTTGGCGGTATCAAACCAGCGCGGAAGTCCAGCGACGGTTCAAAATTCAGTGAAGTCAAACAGACCACCATCCGCATGATGGCAATTTGACGAATGGCACTTCGTTAAATTCTGCCCGTTCAAAAAGCATCTTTGTCAGAAACCCAACAAACGGGGTCATAAGGAGGATCGCTGTCATGCAACCATTTTCAACAAGAACGCTTACACCAAACCTGCCAAAACGTTTGTACCCACATCTTTGACAAAACAAAGATCTCAAGTTTATCCTGTCTTTGCTACCTTCGATACAGGGGCCGCAAAACGCAGAAGGTTCGTAACAGTGGTTGTGAACCAGGTGCCCGTACGCCTCCAAGTTGACACTGTCTCAGACATCACGGTCATATCCGAGGAAAGTTGGAAAAAAGTCGGTGAGCCCTCTGTTCAAAGAACAGCTCGGACTGCAAGCAATTCTTCAGGAAGACCGCTGGACTTGACCGGTGAAATTTATTGCCCTGTAATGTCCAAAGATTGTCAGTTCAAATGGGTATGCTAAACTTATTCGGTCGCGACTGAATTGACAATATGAAACTGCTTGATGTTCCCTTGAATTCCGTAGGCAACAAAGTAAGCAACACATCTGCAGAGTGGACGGCGTCTTTACAAAGAAAATATCTGCAGATGTTTCAAGATGGTCTAGGATTGTGCACGACAACAAAGGCCAGTCTATAATTACAGCCAGACGCAAGGCCAGTCTTCCGACCGAAGAGACCGGTTTCATATGCAGTAGTTTCAATCGTCGACCAAGAACTTGACAGACTACAGTCAGCCGGAGTTATCAAACCGACCAATTACTCTTCATGGGCAGCCCCATTGTGATTGTCAAGAAACCAAACGGAAAGATCCGCTTATGTGCAGATTACTCTACTGGCCTGAATGCCGTCTTAGAAGACCACAAGTACCCTCTACCCCTCCCTGAAGACCTTTTTGCACGTCTGAACGGTGGCAAGTGTTTTGCCAAACTGGACTTGTCAGACGCATATCTCCAGATTGAAATGTCGGAGGAATCGCGTGAGTTTTTAACGATTAATACTCATAGGGGACTATTCCAGTATACATGCCTACCATTTGGCGCTAAGTTGGCCCCGGAAATCTTTCAGCAGATCATAGATACGATGCTACATGGAATACCATATGCCGATGCATACCTGCACGATGTCAATATCATGGGACCTAACCAGGAAGAACTACACCAAGGAACAGAACCCGTGTTTGACAGGATAAATAAGTGTGGTTTTCGCCTAAGAATGGACAAGTGAGTTTTTCATGACCTCTATTAAATACCTGGGCTTCATCACTGATCAAAAATGGACGAAGACCTGATCCATCAACCATCAATGCGATCAAAGAAATGCCACCACCAAAAGATATAGCAACGTTGAGATCATTCATGGGTATGGTGAGTTATTACAATACCTACCTGCCGTCAATACACGACCTACACGGACCATTAAACCGGTTGCTGATGAAGGATGTTCCTTGGGTCTGGACCATCGAATGTCAGGAAGCCTTCGACAGAATCAAGTTACCACTGAGCTCAAAAGTGATGCTAACTCACTAAGATTCAAAGCTGCTAATTGTAGTTGCATCGGATGTATCCAGCTACGGAGTTGTAGTGATCATCTCCCACATTTTCCCAGAAGGGTCTGAGAAGCCAGTCGCTCATGCCGTTCGTTCACTGACAGCAGCAGAAAGAAAGCGTAGCCAAATTGAAAAGGAGGCTCTCGCTATTGTGTTTGCAGTGAAACATTTCCATAAAACGTTATATGGCCGTCACTTTACCTTACTAACGGAATACAAACTGCTTCCTGCTATAGTCGGCTCGAAGAAAGGAATTCCGGTATATCAGGCCAATCGTCTGTAGAGATAGGCGACAAATTGGTTGGGGTACGATTTCAACATCAAGTACCGATCGACGAGTGACATTTGCCAGGCCGATGCGCAGTCATATTTGTTAGACGAACAGCCCCACAACACCAACCTCCCGCTCCAGCACCAGTTTATTTTCTGTTTCCGCCTCCTTTCCTCATATCTCACATTGTTGCTAAGCAGCACTAGTGTGACGATGCGGTAAGAACAACCGGATTCATCGCCTTCTGGTTGACGGAGTGGAGTTGACTAGTCAAACCGAAACCAGCCCCGTTCTCACGCAACAATAATTAAGGCCTGGGTACGTGGCCAACTGACAGTTTGACTAGCAAAAACCATCAGGCATGACCACCGCCCCTACTACGTACAGAGTAACGATTGATAATTATGAGGTAATGATTACCTAGCAGGCGCCGTTGCTGGATTCTATCGTTTCCGCATTCTAGTAGAAATGAGTTCAAAAAGTGACCAAATTAGTATTAGGCGAAGATAGCAAATGAGTCTACCAGAAGATAAAAAAATGCGTTCGCAACCGGTCGGTCGACTTATCCACATCAGACATCAAAAACGCGTCAGCAGTACGCCGATACGCCGTACAGACGCTTCGCTGCCATGCAACCAGCGCCGGTCGCACGTGGGCTAAGAATAGTGCCAAGGTCACCCTGCCCCTAGACAGGATCGAACCCGCACCGTCAGATTACAAGACAACCTCATTACCTTTAGGCTACGGGCCCGTCACAACGGTTAGGACTGCGGTAGACAAAACGCTTGTACAGTACTCGAAGTGCAATCTGACAGAAAAACAGCCAGACTAAAAACAACCTCAAGTATTTTTTTATTGTGCCCTCAGTGCCGAGTTAACAGTGGTAGGTTGCGTAAGCAAGGGAAGAAAAATAAGTCAATTTGAAACTCACTCGTAAACTGATTGTAGGGATATCATGGGACAAGTAGAATATACTCCAAATCTGCATGTGATGATCCTTACCTTTTCGTGTTCTGTGTCAAGTTGACGGATGGTCGACTGTGCGTCAGCAGCACGCTTGCAGAGAATTTCGTTTTCCTCCTCAAAATCCCGAATATCACTAGCCAACTTTTGATTCAGCTCTCGTTGCTCTGAGAGTCTGGGATAGGAAATGAAATGTTCCTGGTGACCATGAGGTCCTCGCATAAAATGGAGCGTCATGAGACAATAAGTTGTAATACTAAGAGACCTATCATCATGTCAACATAGCGGATGAGTCGAAATTTAAATAGGAAGAGAGTAAACAAAACCGCAAACAGAACAAGCGTCGTTACACTGCAAATCCTTAGTGACTTAAACAAACGTGTTATTATCATCATACGGTTGGAAGGAAGTAATTATTGTGGAAAGATGAGGCGATATTTGGGAGATAGCTTCCTATCGGTTCGCAATGCATGATGTTGCAGTCGACCTTAACACGCTGATAACGTATAAACACAAGGAAATTAAATACACAACCCGGTTGTTAAAAAACGGTAGCAAACACGGCACCAAAACAAGAAGTAGGCCTGAGCCCTCAACATTGAAAAGTAGATTTCTGAGTCCGTGGTAAAAGGTGTCCTTGACAATGTCAGAGTTGTAGTCCGTTATAGTATAGTTGGAGACAATGAAAGTGCAACGCAGCCCCGCGAGCTAATCTTAAGCAACGGCCAAGCGCGTAGGCATAAAGCACCATGTGTTCTGAGACACAGTACATGCCAATACACAAAGTATCCCGAGTGCGAAGTCATCATCCTGGGCTATCTTAAGATACGAACATTAAACGTTGCCAGACGAAAGGTGAAGCGTGATGTGATAAGGTGTAGTTGATGAAATGAGCCCAAAGGGTACTGCGTGGGAATAATTACGGGTGGCAGAACTAAAATAGCATTGTGAAGTGAATAGGTAGTGTACAAGGAACAGATGAGAAGAGTAGAGGCAGCAGTAGTAGTATGTTACGCTTGTCACTGCGACATAAAATATAGTGCAACTCACTTAAAGCTGCGCGACGGCAGATGCGGGATGTGGCTGAAGGCAGATGACAAGTACATGGTGGGCTGGGATACTACTAAGGCACCCATGCCTAGGCAGAACGATTAGGGTCTTCAACCAAAGCACTTGTCTCTAAAGCTTGACCACAAAGCAATGGGGATACGACGTTGATCCAGCTTCACAGAAGGCCGAATGACTGTTTGGCAGACCTCCAATCATCTACCAACGCTGTACGGTCAGTCCTCAAGGTGACAGAGAATAGTCCCAGTAGGGTGAATTAGTTTAGTAAACCACAGGCCATTGGCATAAGTCAGTGAATGTGCGAGCAACCTCAAAGTATCCCACTCATTGGGTAGGCGCTGATGGCTGTGTGACAGCAATGCGACTGAATGAGGTTCTGGTGTGCAACTGACACTATATACCCAGAAGAGCTCAATGGGACCAAGGGGCCTGTAGGCCGTCGCATTACGTTATGGTCAAATTTTGCTGCGGTAGTAGTGAAAGAGAAGAGAGTCAACTAGTATTGTATAAGTGGCGGCAGTGAGTCTTGTGAATGTAAACCTCAGGCGATTAAAAGAGGTGATAAAAACGGGAGAAAATATGAGCAATGCTGGGATCTCGTTTTTTTCGCTGCGCTGTGAATTCACTTGACAGAGTACAGCTTTCGGGAGCCGCTTCATTATAAGCTAGGCGAATAGCAAGTTCATAAACGTAAGGTTGCACAGCAGTTTTATTTTTGGATTCCATTGGGCGTGCCGACATATTCGATACGGATTTTCTGATCTCAGAGCACGGCTGTTCAATGCTTTGGTTAGGAAAAGCTTCCGAGAGTAATAGGATGGAAGTGCCACCTACGAAGTATTTGGGTAGAAAAGCATAACTGTTAACTTCGAGAGCCTCCGAAGGGCACATGTCGGAATGTTAACGAGGAGTGGTACTGAGCCACGGTGTTAACGGAAAACAGACAACCGCTTCAAAAAACAACAGGTAGCAATGCATGAAGCTAAACCCGTTTGTGTATGGTAAATTGATTAATTGGGGTTCGATGTTGACAAGAAGATAGAGGCCGCCGAATGACATGAGCTGTGGAACCAGCTAAGTCTTAGGTTTGCGTTACCCCAAAACAGGCGTCCACTACGGCCTGAATTATGCCTAAGTAATCAGGAAGCTAGGATACCAAAGAAGGCGAAGAAAACATAGCACACGATTCGATAGTTGTAGGAGATGAACACAACAGGGGTCTCAGAGCCCAGCCAACGGCAGAAAGCGTCATCGGTAGTGTCACAGCCACGATCGGGTGGTAAGGTCATTAAACGTTTGGTACTAAAAATTCTGATTTTCTCTGACCGCATAAAGATAATCGTCAACGGGATCAGGTTCATTAAAACTAGCGGAACTTATGAGTCACGAATGAAGCACATGCATACGCAAGGTCTAAGTCCAAGATTTTCAGAAGGCGCAAACAAACGTAAGTGCTAATGTCGCGTCTTACTGCATTTGCTCCACGATTCGCAGTCGGAGAGATGGGTCCTACAAGTGGTCAGTGAGACAGAGATAATAGGTCAGAATGTTCAAAGCTAAATTTAGGGGACACGCTGTGTGATTGGGTTGTGACTCACAACCACTATAGAGACCTCAGTTCACTTTGAGGTGAACCTCGGTCATTCCGATCTCGAGGACCGTACCTGAAACGGAAATGTTATTTGCTTTGTGGTCTCCATAGATTAATCTGACTCACCGTCGACAACTACAGAGAAGAGGACGAGGAAAGTAGTCGAGGAAGTAGTCAAGGAAGGAAGGAAGAAAAGGTCTAAAAATATTTCGCATTGGCGTACCCGCCTTGAATTTGTCGCACATATCATCAAGTCAGTAACAACAGCGGCGCATCAGTGTTTCGTACAAGCGCTTCACTGCAGTAAAATTTGAAGAAATCGCACGAGGTGGATGCGATTGATGTTATCAGCTTAAACATACGTCACGGTCACTGAGATCCAAGATAAAGGGAAGATGCCCAAGCAAGCACAGCCTGGTGAATATAGGTCGCAGAACTTAGTTCAAAAGTAAAGCTGAACAGGATAAAATCCAGAGCCCAGAAACTGAAACAGAACAGCAAAAGAGTTCTTGTTTGGTAGTCAGACAAATTAATAGTGATGATTCTGGAGGAACCAGGTGCAAGGTTTTCTGTAAAGGCATAAAAACTTAGACAAATACATACAGCTATACGGGGAGCGACAGGTTGCAAGTGATATATGGCACGCAGGGGATAGGACTAGACCAGTTTTCAGGCGCAAATTGTGTGCCGAAAGAGTAAACGAGTTATTCAAGTACGTCTGATACGTGTAAGGACGCCAGAATCATATGGTTCCAAATCCCAAGATGGCGCGCCCCGACAGGCTAAGCACGTTTGTTCGTTTGAAGAGTGTGAGAAGATGAAACGATTTGTGGAATGCAGTGATGAGGTCGGACAACACCTGACATTTACCTGATTGAGCTAAGATCTAAGTGGCCTAACTGAATGAAGTTCACTTTGGCCCAAATGGTTGTCCAAACTTGCACTGCGCACCGCAATCCATACACTATGTGGCAGTCTAAACAAAGAAACAACAGGCTTCTGATCGGTGTGAGAAGTGGTGCTCGCGGAGTTCAGTGTTGTAAAAATGATGTCGACTACTAAGTTCAGCACCCAAAATTCGAGTCCCGTTCGGTGATCACTACATAAGAAGTGCTAACGTGCAAGAAGCCGCTGGTACAATGGAAAGTTACTTAAACAAGCGCTACTCAACAAACAAGTGCCTCAAATACATCGTAAGTGATGAACTGACCCAAGCTCAAGATTCAAACCGAGATTGGGTATCGTGATCTATTCAAACAACGAACACTCCAAAGAAACAAACATACAGCTTGGGTACGTGCGACTTATGGACGTCCACTGCCTGACGAAGAAGGCCCTGTTTTGTTCTAGGATCTAGGATGCGAAGTAAAGTTATAAGTGAGTAATCGTCGACTTGGCATCAGGAAACAAAGCTAATGATGACTGGTCTGAATGCTACTAATTCGATTCACCAGGCAAGCCGTAGTCCACGCGGCTCTGTTTGCGATCGACTCGAGTTCTTACATCGGAATGCACACAGTCAAAACAAATGGCGCGTTTGATGTCGTCTCTTGGAATAGAAGTGACTAAGACGTGAGGCATTCAAAGCCGCAAGTAAACTGTTTCGTTGATATCACCCTCACTTTATACTGTAGTCAAATATCTGTGACCGTGCGTTGGCGATAAGGCATAGCTGTTGTGCTGCGGAATATTTACCTAGCGTCTATAGGTCCTATGCCAAGCCATTATTTCCCTGCTATCGTTTTCGAGCAATCTGGCTCTTGTGACTCCATGATAGCGAAGCACCAGTACAAGGTTTTGATGCAATGATGAACTGCTGTTGCACTGCTTTTGGTAAGGAGTAAACAGGATGGAAATCCCAGCGGTGCGTGAATAAGTTTGATGGGTATGAACTTGGATAAATATGTTGAAGACAGAGTGCCAAGCTATCAGCATCAGTAACAGCAGTACATCAGGTATTCGAACTGATGCTGTGAAGCCGTACAACTACGACATAAGGAATACTAAGTAGGGGGAACTAGCGTAAAAATCTAAGTGCACTAAGCAAAACATTCACGGTCAAGGCACATAAACACCGTCGACAACATACAATCACGAACAGCTCGCTAGTATGCAAAGATAGGGTGGCATGGGAGAAACAGCTTCCTAATGGCTTACACAGCCCCGCGTCAAAATCAGTTATTACTTTGCAGTTAAATCAGCACCAAACACACTGAACAGACAGTTCAAAAAGGAAACGACAGCAGACACATCACTGGAGCCGACTGTGAGTCATGTCCTGCAACGTCTGGAGACAAGCACAGGGCGAGTCACGTGGACCCCTGATTGGATGGCCAGGCAAACCAACGACACCCAGTTTTGTAGTCGGTGATTTCAGGTACTGCCGCCTAGTTAAGCTTTGCCTACATCGAGCCTTGTGCTACCCTACATCTGGGTTCGCCATAGTTAGACAGCTTCAAGGTGTCCTTGTAAACACGGGCTTTTTGAGCGAGGGAAACTCCCTTCCATCGTCACAGATGTTGAAGTTCTAGCTTTTGCAGTACGTGAACTGATATCACTGATTATTTTCCCAAGTTTGCTAATGAAGTAACCAAAGTAAGTGAATCGTTTTACTTTTCATGTTTCTTGCCATCAAGGGTAAGGAGGTCATCAAGTAGGCTGTGATCTAGTAAAAACAGCGCACTTTGAAGGTGCGAAGCGTATGCCAAATGATGGGAGCAATCCTGAGGGGTTACTCAGGCTTCACAGGGCCGCCTTAACATAGATGAACAACAAGACTATGGTCTACATAATCATGATTAACAAAATGCCCGCGAGGAAGCACCTCAACGCCTATATGGTTTGATTCCGCAGAAAACTCCATGATTGAGTTCACTAAGAAGGTGAACGAAAATGAGGAAATTAGACAACCCTAATGACTACAACGAGTTGTCGGAAAAGTATCTGACAAGTTACTGTAAACACCATTGCGACTTGTGGCATTCAAGTACAGGGCACGTAAAATGTTCACATATTTCATGAGAAAACATTTTCGCGAAAATATTTCGAACCAGACGTATCGAGCAACTGAGTCTAGCACACTCTTGAAGTCCAAGAAAATAGCCATTGTCGGTCTGCGGTACGTGTGGCGCCGCAGTGAATATATGGTCTATACAGCCTCATCCATCCTGTGCAAAAATCTGCTTATTCTTCCCTAATCTGAAATTCCCGCTCGGCAGTAAAGCAACGAAGGCGAATTGAGGTTAGTAATTTTGTCACCACCGGCGGTAGGCCAATACCTATGTGTTAAGAACAGTCGGTGCGACTGTCTTTATTGTATATTGCAACTGTGATCGACTCACTCCAGCTGGCTGGGATGGTTTCTCTCGGGCTGCTCGAACAGGTCAGTGATTTACAAGATACTGTGGTGCGACGGGTTGTGTACGTCTACTCATGGCCCTATACTAGATGGGAGCCCCCGGGCCCCTTGCGAGGTACTCCTTCAAGGTTGATCTATGGTTAAAGGTAAGACAAACTCAGTCTCCCGGTCCTCCAGTTTGTGGGTGGAAATGGAATGTAACACATTTCTGCAAATCCAAATCATTGCCACCTCCGCGCTATCCGGCGGGCGGCTTTCGAGCAAAGGCTTTGATTGAGGACCTTTATCGTTATTCTGTCTAGGTCTAGGTGCCATGGTAGTATCTCAGCCGGTGGCCGAGTGGCCGAGTGGTTGGCACGTTTGCTTTCCAACCATAAGGTCATCGGTTCGAACCCGCGTAGGGGTGGGCGTCCTCGCGGTATACTCAGCCCGCACGCGACTGGTGGTGGTCGCGCGGCAGCGAAGCGCCGTTACGGCGTATAAGCTGACACACACATCATCTCAGCCCACGCACAACCATGACTATCTCCTCAAACTACAATAACATCTTGTATCGGCCGGTGCGCAGCTTTACAAGAGTCGCCTTTTATGCTGTATACAGCAAGATGGACAACCGAAAAAACGCTACTGCTTATGCCTCCCTTCTTTCTTCACCGAATAAAAGTTAAAAAAGATGAGCATGGTTGTAGACCAGCGCATCTCCACAGGTTGAACTAATGAACAGATAGCAGAATCCCGTTAATCCCAGGCAGTGGTGAAGCTGTTTCGAAGATGAAATGAGTGGCCAAAACAGTAAACATTGTCAGCGATAAATGCTAGAGGAATGTCGCCAGGATGCCCAGATGAAGGCAACCACCAGGAAATGTTGATTATGGAACAATGAATTGAGGTCGCCAGTCTACTGACTTGACGCAGAGCATAAAGCTAAGAGGGCGCTGAAACAAGTATAAAGCGGGGCTTAGAAGTTTAGAGCCAACCTGACAGTAGGTATGTGGCCAAGGAGCTGACAACGACGAGGCAAATGGAAAGGGATCAAAAATAGGCCACAAGCGGTCCGTGAAAATGTGCAGGATACACTTACTCAGTTTTCAGTGAGGTGATAGTAGACAGGTACTGCTGGTTGTCACTTTCCAATTGTACACATTTACCTTTCAGCGCATCAACTTCATCTTGGAGAAAAAGGAGGCTGGTGGATCCAGCAGCATCCGATGAGGGCAGGGGGGTTTCATCTGATAAGTGCTCCGGTGCTGTAGAAGATTCTAACTGTTGGATGCGGAGCTAAAAGAAAATATAGCCAAAATAGTAAAAAAAGGTGAAAAAATTAGCGTCCCATCATTTATACACATAACGGAACGCAATAAGTCATTCGAAGAAACGGTTCATGCATTAGGTAAGCAAGATACAGAGGGGTCACCCAAGCTAAAATAAAGAAACAATAGGGGCTAATTTTCGAAGTCTCTGAGGTGGATGTTGGGCAGTTAGTGTACAGGTTGAAAGCATGTCTCAAAGAATAAGGGCTTCACCGCAAAACCAACTGTAGCATAGACGACCGTAAGGCAGGAGCGCTAGCATGACATATGTTCAACTACTAAAACCACAAGAGTGGCCCAAACGGGGAGAAGAGCTGTCGGTACTTAGATCACGTAAACTATTCAAACAATATGAATCAACTTTTCAGCAGCAACCGCCGTCGTCCTCCAGTCGTATAGTAAAAAGTACTACGATCTGTATTAAGTTCATGCTCATTTGTAATAGAGACGGCTAGCAGACATTTATATTCCTAGTACAATGAGGGAAAAGTCCAACGATACAATCGAATGTTATGATGCGCAGTGAACAAATGCGATAGAATCGTGTGGAGGAGCAAGTTAGGTCAGCTGGATCTACTGAACTCCGATACCATGGACTCAGTTAAATGTGGTCAAATCCTTGAAAGCACGACAAACGCTAACACCGCAAATGACAACGAGAAAATGTAACTAGGAAGTGCGAACCTGCTTTTCATTATGTGAAAGTAGATTCTCCCTAAGGTTGGTAGTCTCACACAAAAGAGCCATACGCGCTCCCTACGGTCTTATAGGTCAGGCTACTGTGACAAGGCTCCGACTGGTGCCTACCAGACAAACCTCAATCTGCACCGTCAGATTATGGATGCATGGTTAGACGCAGTAAACCCAAAACATAACCAACCATTTGGAGTGGGCAGTCAAAAAGTATCACTCAATTGCATAACTCCATCTTGATCATACTTTCTCCTCTTTAGCTCGAAGACTCAAAAAGACCAAACTGATTATTTGGTTCACACTCCTATATCTCGTGGAGACGGCTCAGCATATAAAGCATAGAGGAATTATCATCGAGTTCACCTGCCATATTGAGAAGTCAAGTTAACTGGGAAGACCAGAGCACCGCTTCACATGAGTTCAACGCTAAAGCCCTATGCCAGATGGTGCGATAATGTGTCAGCTGTACGCCGTAACGGCGCTTCGCTGCCGCGCGACCACCACCAGTCGCGCGAGGGGTGAGCATACCGCGAGGACGTCCACCCCTACGCGGATTCGAACCGGTGACCTTATGGTTGTAAACCAAACGTGCAGACCACTCGGCCACAGGCTGCAGACCACTCGGCCACCGAGTGCGGTCCACTCGGCCACTCGCCAGATGGTGCAACATGTCACTAGTCATTGATCTGTGTTCTCTCGGCGCGTAGCCTTAAAACCCACAAGCCTGCTTTGTAATTTGAGGGCGCGAGTTCCAGCCTGCATAAGAACCGGGCGACCCTCGCAGTATCCTTAGCGCACGCGTTACCGGTGGTGTCTGCAAGGCAGGGAAACGTCAGTACTGCGTACCGGCGTGCTGCTGCCTTTTTGTCTGTGCTCCCCTAAAAGGGATGTGCGCTGTCCCTCTGACGGATGTATACCAGAAAGCAGCGAAGTAAAAATTCAAACTACATGGCTACATCTCTTGATTCTCTGGTAACGATGAGTCAATAGCCCAGGGTATATAGGGCATCGGCGCTGCAGTTAGGTTCGTTAGGATAGCCAGATACCTGCAGGCGGAGGTCGATATCAGAAGAACTCAAATGAGATACCCAACTGATGGTGTGCATTAAGTATGCTTACCTCATATGCCTTGCATCGAGCTTCGAGTTCTGTTAGCAAAGAGGAAGTAGCACTGAGCGGGGCAGGAGAGTGCGAAAATTGTGAGGGGTTCTGTTTCATAAACGAGTGGCTCAAACTAGCAGAATCGATGGTTGGCGCATCCGCATTTGATGATTCAAGTTCGTTAGATGACGCATTCGAAGTTAACAGCTTGGGCTGAGTCCCAGGACCAAGTTCGTTTAAAGGAGATCCTTTGGTGAACGTGAATCCGATGCAAGCGACTTGACAACCTCGGAACATGGGACCAAGCGGTGGTCCCTCCTGGGAATGTGGATAAATATTCGAGTAAAGCCACATATTGGGAAAGTTCTCGAAATCAAGAATCGGTAGCTAGAAATCAACATACATTCATATAAGGCAACAGACCAAGTCCTATGGTATAGATAATGAAGAGCTCATTTTCAATGCGATGTGTCCATCGGTGGTGTAGCGGGAGGAGGATAAAATGCTGGTGAACAGAGTCAAAATTGCGGCTGATAAAATATTGGTGGTTGGAGCATTGTTGGGTATTGAAGTACCTGCCGTATGTCTGGATTGCGACAAGCAACCTCAATTGAAGCCATAGTTTACTCTGAAACAAACTTCTGACATTTCAATCACTGAGATTGCCTCCGAAGTGGAGAGTTAGTGGCATTTAGCTGAAGCAAATGCAAATGTGCATGGGGATAGATGGTGCATAACTCGTAAAGTGTTACAAGAATAGAGAGCAAACCTCGTGTAAAACTAGCCAGTTTCATATCACTCGCGTTAAATCCAAAATATAAAATAATGGAAATGGAAGAAACTAGCAAAATAATTTAGGGAAGCAAGCATGGGCAGTCTCGGAAGGCTAAAAGTTAGCGGTGAGGAGTGTGGCAAATGAGAAATGTTAACCAGCCAATAAGACCAATTCAAGTGTGATGAAATCGATGTGCACTGCCGGAAAAACTATCGAATGGGCATACGGCAATCAATTAGCTCACGATCATAGTAGGTATGTCGTTAACAGTCCAAATACAGTCAAACCTCCGTAAGTTACTGCTCAAGCGATTGGACCGATTCGGTTGACATAGAGGTCTGGTCCCACAAGGTTTACATGGTGGACGTGCAAACTAAGAGTAAAAGTGATCAACTTAGAAAGCCGGTCAAGTTCGGAGGTTTTACTGCATAAAGGAAGCGGAATAGTCGAGAACTGACGGTAGGGACAGATAGAGCACAGTCCATTGTCCGTAAGCGTGTAAGCTGATCAGTGGTAGGCCCAGAGAAGTGGATTTAGAGAAACACTAGGTGGATCCAGAATTATGCCAAAAACGATGAAGTACAAATTCACATAAAATGCCTGTTCCAAAGAAAATACGACAATTAACGGAGTAACAATCAGATAGGAATGATGGTACGAGGAAAGAAAACCGAAGAAAAGAAGCTCACGTGATTTCGTGTGGACTGTTCAATATCGAAATTGGATGTGTCCTCAGCACTTCTGACCTCCGGGACATATGGTGGAGTTTCTGATGCAATGATTGAGTACAAATGATAAGTTGGTAACCACACGCATGATCTCAAGCAGAGTGACTGGATGTAACGCACCTCGGTGCATCAGTCATATGATCAATAAACCAAAATGAAAAGAGAGATGTGAGATGCACAATAACCAGCAGTGGGGGACACTTAAAAAAGAATAATCGCTATTTCAAAACTTCGGTTTCTTTTTGAAGGCCCCCCGTACAACCACGACTATTTCACCAAACTTCAAGCATATCCTGCATCCACCGTCGAGCAGCTCTACAAGGGTGACTTTATTTGCTGCATACAGCAGAGCGCATAAAGGAAACCATGCTACTGCCGATGTCGCCCGTCTCTCTATTCCCCCTGTTTCCCCTACTCTCCTACTATTTTTCATTCTATAATTTCCAGCCTAATTAACAGCATACGCAATGCCATTGGAGTTACACCATACTAAGCGATCTTCCTGCACCACCCACAAGAGGCCTATCGGAAAAAGCCCTTTATACTGCCAAGCTATCAGGTTTGATTCCGACATTAAATCATAATCATCAGTATCAATACACCTTAGCTGAGGGTGAGAAACAGGCCTCACCTAATATGCCGCAATAAAGAAAATATACTAGAAATAACACTATAAAAATTCAGTAATCAAGTAATTCGATGTTAAATATCATATTAGTAATCTGCCATGAGATCGTGATTGGAGGGGGGATCTAAAGGAGAGGGGTGGACAAAAAACTCACAAGACAAACGGCATGGGAAGTCGGACTCTAGCCATGTCAGCAAGTGTGTCCAACCAAACGTGTTCATTTTCTTTCGGACCCCAGGCCGGCAGTCAAAATGCACCAACCGATACCATACTGGAGGTGAGGGTTTTCATTCCTCTTGAGCAAGTTATCGCTTGGCGTTCCCTCCTCTTCCATCCAAACCCCGGACGCGCAAACAATGCATGTCGATGGAGTCGGTGGGCTGGCATACGTAACACGTGGCCGAGTCATCGGAGCCTGGTGCGTAATATAATAGCGCTGAGCTAATCACTCGCTCAGCTCTTGCAAAAAACACACCACGTCGAACGCGCTCGCTGCTCACGCGGTGCTCCCAACCGACATGAGCTAAGCTGTGAAGGAAGCGACGATCGAAGGTAGCTAAGCGCTTCATGTCTGTCGAGCTAATAGACTAGGTTTCAAATCGTAAAGGAAGGTTGAACGGACGGCCGCATTGTAAACTCTGTCCACCAGGGCCAGAGCCAGCGCCACAGATAGTGGAGGTTGGCAAAAGCACCTCAAACTTTTGCTATACGGGCCATGACCCTGTCGTTAATCCCATGGGTGCTAATATAGCTGCCCAGGTAGTTTAACACCGGAACAACCTCAGGCTGAACCGCGAAAGGAGTAAGTCTATACCAAGGTTGGAGCAAAGCATAGCCCAAAAATATCATTGTTAATTTATCCAGCGTTGCTTAGTACGCTGTCACATATGAGGGCAATATCATCACATTATATATATATATATATATATATATATATATATATATATATATATATATATATATATATATATATATATATATATATATAAGATTGGCGGCATCCGGTTTCGGATTTGCCTGTCACAGAGGGACCATGGGTGGGTTGTGCTGCACCACCCACAGCTCCAACCAGTGTAAACCCGAAGGAAGAAGACCGGGAGGCATGTGGATTGGAGCCACGTTTCATCATATGAAGTAAGTTGGTTAGCAACGAATCCGCGATAAGTAAGAAATGTCCGCAAGTTACTTAAAAATGTTACAAATGCAACAAAATTACCGAAGATAAGCGCAATTAGCGTAAGCAACGTGGCCAGTTAATAGAACATTATTCAGGTAGGCAGAACAAACCAAATAAAGTAGAATGAAATTTATCTAGCTTAAAAAGACCTAGTTTAAGTGTAAGTAGGTTTGGTTCAACTGCGGTGAAGAAGCAGCATGAATGCAACATCAGCGTCAGCATGGGGCACACATACATACATGGTTGGCGGCATCCGGTTTCGGATTTGCCTGCCACTGTGGCCAGCCACAGGACGCCTGCGCCTACAGAGGGACCATGGATGGCTTGCGCTGCACCACCCACAGCTCCAACCACATACCCCATATCCAGTGTAAACCCGAAGGAATAAGACCGGGAGGCATGTGGATGGGAGCCACGTTTCATCAACGGAGCCGGCCCACACTCCTTCACAGGCAAACACAAACACGCTGTATTTGGGGAATCAAGCGCACACAAGGCAGTGTCTGGACCGGAGTGCGCTCCACACTGAGTGCACGGAACCACTCTTCGAGTCTAGCACGGCCACAATGACCGTGCACCCCGTCCCCTCGAGCAACAACCAACTGTCTCCTGGAGCCAGTATGGACGAGGTAGTGGGTAATCGACAGGTAGGCACCTTGTCAACATGCACATCAAGCGCAGCCACACCGGGGTTAGCGCGCAACAGCCAATCACTTGAAACGACAAAATGAAATAAAATAAATCCAATAATGCATACAGATACGGTGGCATAGCTCTTCGCTAAATTAGTATATGAAGTAAGTTGGTTAGCAATGAATCCGCGATAAGGAAAAAGAATGTCCACAAGTTACTCAAAAATGCTACAAACGCAACAAAATTACCGAGGATAAGCGCAATTAGCGTAAGCGACGTGGCCAGCTAATAGAAGACTATTCAGATAGGCAAAACTAACCAAATAAGGTGGAATGAAATTTATGCAGCTTAAAGAGACCTAGTTTAAGTGTAATTTGGTTTAGCCCAACTGCGGTGAAGAAGCATCAAGAATGCAACATCAGCCTCAGCATGGGGCATATATATATATATATATATATATATATATATATATATATATATGTACTGGCCCAACAAACATTTGGTAAAGTGCCGCAAGACATGAGTAACCATAACAAAAAGGAAGAGATAAAATCAGAAGAAAGAATGCAAAGTGCTGTGTGGGCACTAAGCTTCCCGATTGCCCAGGCCGAAAAAGAGGATTGACTTAAAGGCCACACCCCGAGCCTTTGCTCCTAAAGACCTGACCAGCAAGGCAGCGGAGTGATAAACGAAGACCGTTGACGGCCAGGTGGTTCATTCGTCTTCTTTGTGTTCGGATGTTGTCTAAAGAGAAGCCAGTGGTCAGCAAGGTTGTTCATCCGCCTTTCGTTAGATACTCATCTCCAGTTCCAGAACTAAGCAGTCAGTGACCCTATAGTTGGTCATATCGCCTTTGACACAGCGCGGTGCGAGCACTTGTGGTATTTAATGGAGAACCAGGTGACCAGCTCAGAACTCCGCACACTCAGAGACGCTGCTGCTGATTATCCGTGACTGCTTATTCATGTTCTGAATGTGTACCAAAGTGCGCTGACATCTGGGCTGAGCAAGCGCCCACTAAACACCGTTGAAGATCACTGGTCGCATATTCGTCAAGCGTTACTGTTAGCAGGCATGTCTTCATGTGGCAAAGCAAATTGCCAAACCGGACATTGGGTCTCTATGCAGTCTCTGGAACTTATCGATGCTCGCCGACGTATTCCGGCTGGAAGCGAATACAATGAGGCTCGCAAAAATCTCAGGGCAAAACTACGTGCTAGCTTGAAGAAGGATCGCGAAACCTGGTGGTCTCATTGTGCATCGGAAATGGAAACAGCCGCTACCGTTGGCAATCATCGTAAGTTATTCCGTCTGATACGGGAAACAGGCAGCAGGAGACCTGGTGTTAGCGAGACCATACGCGACGAGAGTGGGCAGCCGATCCATAGCCTGTCAAAACGCTTGGAGCGTTAGGCTGAAAACTTTGCAAGGCAATTTAATCAACCAGAGTTATCGCTTTCTTCTTCGAGCATTGAGAGCCCTTCTCCCTGGGCCGTCTCCTTGGATCCGCCATCACGCGCAGAAGTCGAACGTGAGATCAGGCTGTTGAAATTGCAAAAGGCCGCACGGTCAGATAGAATTCCCCCAGCCCTCTTCAAATTCGGGGGACCTGCTCTAATAGATAATTTACACAAGTTGCTAGTGAAGCTTTGGGAGCAGGAGACAGTCCCGACAGACTGGAACCGCTCCGTCATTGTCCCAATTTTCAAGGGAACCTCCCATTTGGAATGCGACAATCATAGAGGGATCAGTCTGATTTCGATTGCCTCTAAATTCCTTGCCTCTGTCATTCTCCACAGACTGACTGGCACTCGTGAAAGCCAGCTTCGTGAAGAGCAAGCCGGATTTCGTCGAGGTCGCGGCTGCATCAACCACATCTTCAACTTGCGTCAATGCTTGAAGCACCGCCATGTTTATTGGCGTCCCAACGTTGTCGTGTTTCTTGACATAAAAGGTGCCTTCGACTCAGTCGATCGATGTGCCCTCTGGGACTGTCTGTTGAGGAAAGGTGTGCCTGATAAATATGTAAATATTATCAAAGCGCTGTACGCGCATAGTTCGGGTAGAGTGAGGGTTTATGGCAAACTGTCGCCACCCTTCAGTATCACCAGCGGTGTGAGACAAGGATGCCCGCTGTCGCCTTTCCTCTTCAACTTCGCTGTTGATGAAGTCATGGAAACAGCGTTCGCTGGACACGACCTAGAAGGTGTGGAGCTACTTCCTGGTGAGCGACTTCTTGACTCGGAGTGTGCGGACGATATTGTCCTAATCTGTGACAGCGCCCATAGGTGCCAGGCTGCACTGGACCGATTAGCACTGGTTATCAATCGTTTCGGGCTATGCTTTGCTCCATCGAAATGCAAAGTACTTCTCCAAGATTGGCAGGGACCCAACCCTTCTTTAGCGCTTGGTGGTGATCTGCTAGAAGTCGTTAAGGAATTCAAGTACCTGGGCAGCTATATTAGCACCCGTGGGATTGAAGATGAGGTTACGAACCGTATAGCAAAAGCTCGAGGTGCTTTTGCCAATCTCCGCCACCTGTGGCGCAGACGCGACATTACTCTCGCCCTCAAGGGCAGAGTTTACAACGCAGCCGTCCGTTC